GGTATCAGGTGCCAGCTGGGCTTTGTTTTTCAGGCTTGTTGAACACGGCACTTTGTATAGTCATTTGCTGTCTTTCCAGAGAAACTACACTGAAAGTACCCAGGAATTGGGGATAAGGGCTCTTCACTAAGAATAAAGATGGATTAGATTCACCATGATGTGAGAGAGCCACTAATACTGTCTGGGGCCAGGCTACGCCTGCGGCCTAACACCCAGCCTCTCACCCCAGTCTCCCCACCTTCCCCACTTCCTCTTACTGAAGGCAGGCATTGAGGAAGAGTGAAGGGCAGTGCCTTCTGCTGCCTGTTTCCAAAGTGTTCATTTGTATCCTTTGGAGAAGGACGGGGGAGGGGGTTATCATTGTCCAGCTCAGGAAAACAATGAAAATGCACACCAGAGGTTTTCCTCACTTTTTGGTCGGCATCTTTCAATTCTAATACTCACAGGGGAAAGCTCTCACTTGTGATACAGATGATCAGAGGCATAAATCGCTTCTCAGTGATCAATTCTACAATTAAACAACCAGTAGGAGGCCTCTTGGCCCTGGAGAAAACTGCTAAGGGTAAGGCAATGATTTCCTTCAGAGTCAAAGTGTGTAATAGGGGTTGGGTGTAGGGGGAGGATGTCTGGTCTTTAAAAATCATAGAAGCCGCCAACTCAGACTTGCCGGTGTGTAAGCATGGGAAAACATGTTTCTCAAGCTTTATTGTACCAAGGATCTTGTTAAAAGGTAGACTGATTCAGAGGGCTGGAGGGTCTCAGGAGTGTAGCGATATACAGTATTGGGCTACCTTTATGCAATCTGAAGTCTAAGACATGATTAGTTTCTCTTGTGCTGGGGAAAGTAGAAGTACTTTCCTTCACCTATCATAAAGGCTAGGCCCGATATTCCTCTAACAAAAGACAGGTTCACAAGAGAAAACCATGAGACTTTATTGAAGTGTCAGGTGATATGGGAGCTTTGCAGAAATAGTCTCTGAGACCCAAGTTGGCCTGTTTATTTTTGTGTTTCCATGTGACGAACATGGACAGCCATGAGGAAATGTGTGCTGGACAGCGGGAGATGCCCAGCAAGGCCTGGCCTGGGCTGGCTCAGGTGCTTTGCACCCAGCTTTCCTTCCTTGCTCTCGGGTATGGGGCAGGACCCATTCTGATGGTGGCCTGTTACTGTGACCACCTCTTGCACAGGGCAAATGGCACTTCTGGGCTTGTAGTAGCGTTAGGAGAGCAGTGTTCCAGTTTCTGTGAAGGAGCTGAGGAATTCCCACTTCGGAACCTCTCCCTTTACCTTGGTGTTCTGAGCTCCACACTTTAGAGCATCACTCTAGCTAGGAAAACTGTAATTATATGCATGACATTCTCATTTTATATTCCACATATCCTTTACAGTTTCCTTAAATATGAAATTGCCAAGGACTGGCATGTTTAAATTGCAATTTATGGAACAGGGTCTCTATGCAGATTTTTCTGAGGTAATGATTGTGATATGGGAAGGGTGTCCTTTGTTCTCTTGTGACACACTAAGGCTAAGAACAGAACCTGTCTGGGTTTGGACTCAGTGTACTTCTCTCTCATTTCCTTTTTTTATTCCAATGCAAAGTTTTGCATTTGATTAGAAGGCAATAACAAGACCAATTCAAGGCTAAAAGAATTCCTCTGCCACCTGGTGGATGATAAATTTTCAACAACCATGAATTAGCTGCCATTTCCTGTGTGACCTAAGCCTGTGTTTAAAATCAGTATTATTTTCATCTCCCACGACCACTACTGCCACAATCTAGTAGGCTCAAAAAGTACACCTCATTGTCTGAAGTGAGCTTAGGAAAGGGAGGCCAAGGAAGAGGCCTTTCAGGTTTTGTTTGTGGTGAGGTGCTGCCTTCGGATCAGATGGCTTCCTTGGAGATCTATGTGTTTATGGGTGTGTAAGTGCTGTCCCAAGGTACTTGAATTTTGTCCTTATGGGAATTTATATTCTGCTCACCTACCTTCTCCTCCTCATCTTTGGTGGATTCAAGAACTCAATGCACAGCAATGCTCCACCAGTGTCTCTAGCAATGTTCAAAACTGTGTGTCACACATGCTCAGTATTAAGATCAGAGTTGGGGCAGGATTTCATCCTGACGATTCTTGGAAAAGACTGGAAGAAAACTTAAGACAAAAGCGAAGCGAAACAAAACCATGCCAGAAAAATTTAGACAACATTTCTTTGTTTAATTGATTTCCAGCAACAAAAACAAATTCAAGTTCACAAAAACTTAACAGGAATTGTTTTATTACATATAAAACCAAGCATACCATTATTATAATAACAAATAAACATGCTGAATATCTTCAGGTCATGTTAAATAGTGCCCTGAAATAAAATAAAAAATAAATAAAAAATAATGCTTTTCTATCACCTTGAAATACAGTACCACCAGTAGTTTTCAATTTTCAATATAACTACTCAAGTTAATAGCATCAAGGAAAGAGGAAACAATATTTGTTTTGTTTTATCATGTAAGATGGAAGTTCCTACATCTGTCTCGGAAGTATCCTAACAGACTGAAAGAACCAAAACAAACCATCTTTCTTCTACCTATTAGCTATTGTTAAGAGCAACGATAGTGTCATCCCTAATTTTGTCTAAGCTACTAATTATTCCTTTGGTCCCCTTAGTCACTTAAAAAATGAGAATACTTTCAAAGTCAACAGATAGAGCAAATTTTGATCTAGCATTCTAATTCAATATTTTTGCACTTTTCTCCAACTTTTTCCACCAACCAATTCTCAGCCCCAAATAGTTTTTCTTACATTTTTTCTCATTCCTGTCTCAGATTTTAAATGGTTTCAATGCAAGGTATATGTAAACAACTCCTCAGACACGAGAGGCACTTCTCACAAATCGTGACTCGAGTCACCAGACCAGCAGGATCCGAGATGGTTTTGACACGATGAGTTCATGATTCAACTATCCATCAAGCAGAACTTGAGAACAGCACGATTCTTATCTACAGCATTCAGTGCATTAAGGTGTGCTGGATAAGTATATTAGAGATCAAAAACCTAGCATTGTGCTTATGTTAAACTTACTTCTAAAAAACAAAACACTGTTCATAGGCGCTTTGGTCTGACCTAATAATACTGGTTAAACAACCAACCTCAGGCAAAAAAGGGATACAAGTAAAGTCATTTTTCCAGGCTTTTAGAACTGTCTCAAGACACAATGTTACGACTTCCCCAGCTTAAACAACCAACTTTGATCAAAGGAACTGTGAAAAAAAAAATCCATGAGACATAACTTCTAGATTTCTTTATCATGATGATCTATAGGTCAGACACAGAAGGAAAACAACTCCCTTCACCCATTCAAGATCTTGAAGAGCAGAATACTCACATTGTTGCATAACCACAAAAGGCCACAGCTTGGCATAAACCCTTTAGTATTAATATAAGGACTATATTAATATATGTATGTAATGCCATGCCTACTACTGTTAGTTGGCCATGAAGCTTTCACAAAGAGCTGCATAAAATCTTGGAGGGTAAGAATAAGGGAGGAGCTGGCCATCAGCAATGGGTTAATCTATGCTCTAAGGGGCAGGCCAACTAGGACACATCGGGTGTTGTTTTCCAAATACCACTCAAGGACCAAGGACAGCAGTTAAGAGTACATTTGAGAAGGAAGCAGGCCCTATTATATGTACATCTGTTCATACAGAAAGTATAAGACCTGGGGTAATAGCATGCTTTCAACAGCAGAGTGGTATGAAAGGCAAAGAATGAAAGAGAATCACCAATTGCTGCTCGTAATCCTAGCTACTCAGAAGGCTAAGTATGGCAGTTTGAAGCCAGCTGGGGCAGGAAAGTCCATGAGATGCTTATCTCCAATAAACTACACACACAAAAAAACAGAAGTAGAACTGAGACTCAAGTGGTAGACTGCTATCCTTAAATAAAAAGGTGCTCAAGGACAGTGCCCAGGCTCTGAGTTCAAGCCCAGGACTGGCACAACACAAACAAACAACAAACAAATAAATGAGAATCTGAACTAACCTGGAAGGAAAGCCTTGAAAGAAAAAGATTATCATAAAAATGTCCCTATGCTTATCAAGATTAACATTCATTTTTAAAAGGCAATCTTAATATTTAACCTTGCCTATTGTAATTATAAATATACCTTCTGCTTATGTTGTTTCTGATGGCAGTATTGTATGAAGCATATTCAGGCTATTACATATTTCCAAATGCAATGCCAGGTTTTTCATTATCCCCAGGATAAAAAAAATAGAAACTTAGGTGCCAAAAAAAAGAACAAAACCAATACAATAATGTTTCAAGGGATAAAATCAAGTAATTAAAATACAGTCTATCAAGAGAGTCCACCTAAGTTTTGTACATATCCACAAATATCAATAGAACACTCACAGTACGGCCCCAGGAACAAGCAAAAGTGACTAAGGAAGCAGCCAGGATGCCCTGGGGTAGAGAAGAAGCATAGGCACATCCGGCACAGTCACCCCCGTTCTACTCCCTTCTAGGTGGAAGTCTATCATCTCCCTCCCCACCCCCCCAGGGATGATTACAGACTGACATTGGTCACTGATAACTGTTACAAGCAACTAGGACTGGCCCTCCATTTACCACTTCTAAAAGGTGGAAGTGGTCTGCCTGCCAGAAAGGTTAAGGTGTAAGGAGCTCCTGTTCCATCCCCACCCAAGTCAATAATCAGGCGGAGGCCCACAGACTTCCTATCTGGAGAGTCTGCAAATAATTTAAACTCAGATTACAGAACTCCAGAATGGACTTTACTCCACCTCTAAATTTAAAATACCCTTTCAAATCATGTCAGAGAGACCTATTAACATTCTGGATGCCATTGTCCTGGCAAGCAAGCTGCTTAGTGATAAATGACTGCTCAAAATAGAAACTCAAGCTCTCCCTAACTCAGGGAGGAACTAAGGCTTCTCCTGGGAGTGAAACAGAAATTTAGCTTGAAGAGCTTATGAAAAAGCAGGAGAGGCAGTAGCCAAAAGGGCTTTATTTCCAACACTAGGACCTGTGACAATGAGGAGCTAATCCACACCTAGGCTAGATGGTATCATTATTTTATCCCTTTGAGGAAATGTTACCCAAAAGGGCTCTCAAACACTTTTGTTTGGCTATTAATTCAAGGGAGGACTCACTGAGAAAAATCTCTCTTTGAAAGTGATTCTACTGGGGTGGGTGTGGGATAGACAAAGAGCCAACTGACCGCCTAACAATCAGCCATCACAGACAGTCTCCAGGTGCCCAATGCTGGAACTTCTAGAAGAGGTTAAGGAATCTATGGGTCTGCAACACATTATTTTAGATACTACTTTAATCTGTATGTGTTTTGCTTTCCTCCGTTTGTTTTGAGTTTCTTCTCACTGGACACAGTGGCATGACCCTGGTTATTCACATTGCCTTTTTTCTTAAGATTGGCGTGGGCTTGTGTTCTGGGGATGCGGCAGGGATCGGCTGGGTCCAGTAACATGGCTGACTGTTTGGGAATTCGGATGTTGCCATTGGCTTCCATCTTAGAGCTGTTGTCGCTGCAGGGCAAATCCCAGTGTCTCAGCTTGGTGCTTTTACTTGATTTCTTTTTCTTCTCCTCAGTCTTCATCTCAGAGGTTGGCTTCTGAGAGGCCAACCTGGTCCAACTGGGCCCATCCATGCGTCTCGGGGAGGCCTCAAATGTATAATAGGAAGGGTGGACTTCCTCATGGTGACAATCTTTCTTTCGTGAAGGGCCTGGCTTTGAAGTTCCTTCTGGGTGAGGTAACGGTTTGGACAGAGCACTAGCAAGTAGCTTGCTTCTCCCAGGGCTTTTCACAGCTCCAGAGGCCCCCGGGGCGACAGGAGGCCTGGCCTTAGCAGCTCTGCTCTTCTCACACTGCACGGTCTGGATCTGCAGCCACTCCAGCTGGATGAGTCTGTCCATGTACTTTCCCAGGCTCCCAGCTCGGGTGGTCACCTCTATCTTGCACTCTGCGTTCTGAAGCATGGCCATGTCCCGCAGGTCCCAGGAACTGAACGGAGGTGGGAGGAAATCTGGGTAGTAGTACTCTGGCCTTGCCCCGCCCTGTCCCGGGTGAAGGTCAAAGGACACAGGATCTATTTCTTCAGCTCGAAGATTAAGATCTGGAGGTGTGAGGGGAGAGGGAGGGATGTGGATTCTCTCTGAATCTGACAGATCACTGGCGCTGTCTTCATCAGCGTCTTCCTCGATGATCTTCATCGATCCCAAGTCCATCAGCAGCTTGTGCCCTGAGCCCCCCTGACTCCTGGGACTGGGTATATTCCGGCCAGGTCTTCCTTCCGCAGAAATGCCTTCCTTGTGTTTGTCTCCAGCTGGCTGGGAGGCCCCTGCCAGGCCACTTCTCAGCTGGGAAGAAACACCAGGGATTTGGGATTTACTCTGTTTTTTTCCTGAAGAATTCTTTGAATGATGTACTTTACTCCAAGATGGGCAAGCATCCATATTACTGTAAAAAAGAAAAACTGCATTTCTTACTACATAAACAAACAAACGTTTTATCTGGCTATAGTTAGAAAAACAAAAAGAATCCTCTGCCTATGTTTTCAGGGACAGACTTTTGCTCCATAGTACTCTATTCATACCACTATAGAATACATGCAACAAACATGGATGCTTGAGTCCTATTTTGCACCAAACACTAGTGTAAGAGGCAACTTTAAAACTTCATTTGCAAGGCCCGTGAATTAACTAAAAGCAGGATAAAAGCTGAGCACTCTCCTCCTTCATCTGTACTTTGATCTAACACAATTCTTTCTAAGTCACCTCATAATCACTTCCAGGAAGGACAGGACTTACCACCAATAAGCACTTTACAACAAAAGGTAAACTAGCTTTGGATAGACAATTCCATCGTCCTGTGGTAAAAGGCAAAACAATCCCAGGAAGTCAAAAGCTACAGACTATGTGCTAGGCAACAGAGACCGATTAGTTCCTGCTCCCCACAAGTGAGGAAATGTTAACAAGGTCTCCAAAATTCTTCCAGAGACAAAGAGCTGCACTGTGACTTAGTTTTGGGTATGCGTATCTTTCTCTCTCCCGCCTCCAGTCCTCTGTCAATTTAAAGCTAAGCCCAATGTCCACACATCCAAAGATGGCTGAAAGACTGAATCTCTGTCTCCCTGTCACTGCCACAGATCGAATTCCTTTTCTCTGCCTTTCCCCACGTCTTTTTACTTGACACATCAGGGGGAGTGGCTAGATCTATAATATAAAATGTCTCAACTTTGGGTCTGAGGTCTAAAGTGCAGTTTACATTAGGACTTAAGAAAAACATGAACATTTCTTAAAGTATTTATAAATTTAGACCAATTGTGTTTAGACCAATGTTCATAAAACATTAGTTTAGAAAAGTGTCCCCCAAACCTTAAGTTGGGTCTACTAGTATTCAACCATGTTTAAAACCATTTAAAGTAAAGCATACATCCTTCTTGTGAATAGCTATCTTAGAGTAAATGGAAATATGATGTAAAATTCAAGTCTGACATTATGGACTCGGTGGCAATTCTGAGTCAGGTAACATGTCAATATGTAAAAGTATAGCACGTGCAACTCATACCTTAAACAAACATCTTATCAGTATTTTTCCTCTCTCTATTTTATCTTTAAATAGTTGTACAAAAGGGTTTTCAGTTTAACAGCTGTATAGTTTATGTGTACAATTCATCTTGATCAGTGTTATCCTATTGTTTTCAAGTAGGAAAGACACACAGGAAAGTTGTGCTTGAAAGGATAGAAATAAAATTACATGGTGTTATTATAAGCCACTATGAATGAAAAATGGGACTCAAGCAATCTTGTGACTGGCAGGCAAAGGGAAATAATGGAAATTATGTGCATTGTTTTATGGCAAGAGATTCTTTCTGAGGAAATTTATTCTGAGGTAGAATCTCACCTCAGAGTTTAAAATACCTTATTTTTAATTGGCTTCCCACTAAGCAGTATTTAACTAAAGCTGTAATAAAAGTCCAATTATTTAAGCAGAAATGGGGGACAACTATTTGTTTACTGGTTCCAATCACACTAAGTGATTATTTAAAAATGTGTTTCTTGGAGCTGGGAAGGTGGCTCAGTGGTAAAGTGCTTGCCTTGCATGCATGAGGCCCTGGGTTCGATTCCTCAGCACCACATAAGCAGAAAAAGCCAGAAGTGGTGCTGTGGCTCAAGTGGTAGAGCACTAGCCTTGAGCTGAAGAGCTGAGGTTCAGCGCCTAGGTCCAGAGTTCACACCCCATGACAGCCCCCCTCCCCCAAGAAAAAGTGTTACTCTTAGCTAAAAAAACAGAGTATGGTAAGTCATTGTCAAGAGCACAACACAGCACACACAAGGAAAGAGGAGCTATAATTCAGAATTCACCATGAATGCTGTTAATACTTCTATTTACAACTGAATGGTTTTGTGCATCTGTCAAAGACAATTAATGGCAGTGACTCTTCTATCTAAAAAGAAACCACATTATACTCATACTCTGACTTGTTGAATTGAAACTTTTTTTTTTTGGGGGGGGGGTCCGGTCATGGGGCCTGAACTCTGGGCCTGGGCGCTGTCCCTCAGCTCTTCAGCTCAAGGCTAGCGCTCTACCACTTGAGCCACAGCGCCACTTTCGGCTTTTTTCTTTTTGCCTATGTGGTGCTGAGAAATCGAACCCAGGGCCTCATGCATGCAAGGCAAGTGCTCTACCACTGAACCACCTTCCTAGCCCCTGAACTGAAACTCTTTTAAGATAATTACTTAAAAATAAATTTAAAAAATCAAAGGAAGGTAATCCAAGACTTGGTAAAAGAGTAGGTCTGTAAACACAGACAGGATCATGATCTCTGGAATTGACCAGCTAACAAAGCTTGACTCCCCTTTGCCCATTCATTTATGCTAAATAAAAATATAACTATGGGGGTGGGGAAGGCAGCTCCATGGTAGAATGCTTGCCTCACATACATGAGGCCCTGGTTTCCATTCCTTAGTACCACATAAACAGAAAAGGCCGGAAGTGGCACTGTGGCTCAAGTGGTAGAGCACCAGCCTTGAGCTGAAGAGCTGAGGAACAGCGCCCAGGCCCAGAGTTCAAGCCCCATGACTACCACCACCACCACCACCAAAAAACAAAATAAAAAATATATAAATATGCATTTTATATCCACTTATTCTAGTCACACAGATAGCAAGTGAAGTCATATGCCCTTTGCAAGATGAAGCAATCATCTGAAAACGATTTACCTGTTTTTCTGATGAGATTCACTCATCCTATTCCTTTTCTTGAAAAAATCACATGGCTGATCATCATCTAATGCGTGATAAACTGTCTAGAAAAAGATATTCAGTAGTAAGTACTGTGAGCACACAAAGGAAGGAAAGAAAGGAAGAAAGAAAAGAGAGAGGAGGGAAGAAGAAAGGAAGAAAGGGAGAAAGAAGCAAAGAAAGAGAGAAAGAAGGAAGAAAGGAAGGGAGAAAGAAAGGAAGGGAGAAAGAGAGGAAGAGAAGGAGGGAGGGAGGGAGGGAAGGAAAAAAAAATCTAAGACTTATTTTTCCCCCTCCAGATTTACACCACCTTTGCTGTGGTACTTAAAATATTCTTGCTCAATGTGCTGGAAGACGTTGACAGCTGGGAAGGTGACTTCTTTATTCCTCTTATGTTTGGAAAGATCACTTCACTGCCGGAACTAGAAGCAACAACACAGTGACAGTAAGTACTGATTGCAAATCATTCTCTCATCAGTACTGGGTTGGGTTGCCTTTCGTTGTTCAGTGCTTGCCCAATAATGAAACACTGAAGCTGTGCTGGGTGCCAGGTTAGTATTCTGACTTGTAAAGAATTAGAGAAAGAATATTGTCTTGTTTACCGTTTAGTCTCTATTTGCTTGCTTTTCACAGGAGACACTAGTTATGAGAGCACACTGCTGTAAAGTGCTGTGGATGTATTCCATCCTTCCGTGTACACACACACACACACATTCACAATCTCCTTGGAAGTAAAATGTTTAAGGAAATTTGTGCAGCTAATTTAGGTCATTATCTTTTTCCAAAGCTCTCATGTCTACTTATCACTCAACTAATAATTACAGGAATGTCTAGAAAACAGCAAGGGTTACTTATCACACAAGCCTGTCCTACAGGGAAGCTCCCTCCAGATTCTGTCTTCTATAGCAAATCAATCCATTAAAAGATAACCAATGTGCTCATACACGTTACACAGTAGACGTTATTGCTTGGTGATGCTTTGTTCAAACATATCACACATGACAGTGATTCCTTTGCTACTTTGAGAGGCCTACACAAGAAGCCATACCTAGAAAGTGAATACTTCGCTCTCCCATAATAACCCTGCCTCTGTAAAATAGCAAGAGGTGGGGTTAGGAAAGCTTGTGGTTAGTATATAATCATGTCCGTTTACACAGACATCACACAGGGCTTGTGCAATGAACTGATCATACCACAGCAGGCCTGACACCTTCTCGTTGTGTTCTTTACCAAACCCTTCCATGCATCGGCTCTCTTTCTGCTTCATCCCCTGGACCGTAAAAAGAACCCTGGAAGGCAGGCCTCCACGTCTGAACCTCTCTCTACAAAGTGAGCTCTACTTCCTCTCATTCCACAGGGCAAGCGCCACACCCGGGGCAGCTGGGTTTCCGACCCAAGTCTCCGGGAGAAGCCAATGCCTGCGGGGCTTTTAGGGAGCAGAAGACAGACCCCGTCCTCCCACGCCGGGAAACAAAGCTACAGGAGGCTCCCTCCAGCGCCTGGAGGCTGACTCGGGCCGCGGCGCGGTGCGTCCGGGCCTCCGCTCCCGGGCTGCGGGCCTGGGCT